AACTCAACATTTTCTTATTTTTTTAATGCGAGGATTATTGATGCAACATTTTAGCCCATTCGAACAAACCTTTTAAAACTATCCCCAAAACAACTTTGTAGAGAGAGGGTTAAAAATACGGCACGGAGGTAAAATGATAGGAGGGAGCTTGCTTGCTTCATTGAACTAATGCTAAAGGAACGTCGCCAAACGAGCTTCACGCAAGAGCCAGCGTTTAGTCAAAAATAGATAATCAGGGGTGGTGCCGTTTGGTTTAAAATGGGTTCATAGGTAATAAAAACATCTTATTATTTGCATAATTATGGTATAAAAACAAAAATATTACTATCAACATAAAAACTCAAGTATAATATAATTATCAATAATAATCCTTGCATTGAAAAACTAGCGAATGTCAAATTTTGACTTGATTAGAGTATTTTTAAGCCCCAGTCTGCAAGTTTGTTTTGGGGGTAGTTTTTAATGGTTTTTCCAAATATCCTAAAATTTGATGTCAGGAGTTCTCGCGTAGAGAAATACAGAAGAACCAAATCAGGGCGCATTTCGAACATTTTTAAGTCCCGGTCTGCAAGATAAACTGTGGTCTGCAAATTAGAAACGCCTGCGATGGGCATCGCATTACAATTTCTAAATGAAATCTGGGGTTGCTACAGTCGACCTTTAAAACCACCCTCAAAACGGTGAAGCAAAAAAAATGAGATCGATGTCAAACTCGATGCAGTTGACACTTGACCTGTGAAATTTGTAAACGAAGTTTGAATTTTTTATGACTAAACTTTAAAAGTCACCCTTTAAAAAAGCGTGGGCATTTAAATTAAAAATAAACACATTGAGTTCGAACTCGGTACAGATATGGCTGCTTACAAAATATCCACGAAAATAGTGGTTTTAATTAAGACTTTGACTCCTTCATCACCCTTGTCAACGAATAACCCAGCTTATTAGTTGCAAATTTATGACACTACCCCAAACTATAGGTACCGGCCCTTTGTTGTATTTGATCGACGCACTTTTCTTGTACCGAACCGGCTTATCTGTGTAATTATTAGTTATAATGCTCTTTCTTCGCAAACAAAAGGTTTGGAAAACCCAAAATCATAAAACCATCACTGTTGTCGTAGATGGTCTATGATTAAATGGCTGTACTTGGGACAACAACTTTTAAATAGTTTTGTTGTTATTGTCATCTGCCGTAAACACAGTAGCTATTGTATTACACTTGTTCGAAAGGCCCTTTGTAGGGCCGACTTTTAAATTCTTCATCAATATTCAGTAGCGAATGTTTCTGTGTTTTAAATACATAATAAAAGGGTGTGATCACAATTTATTCCTTTATATATTTATTTATATTGGTCCTTGTAGACTCCGGTCTGTTGGATAATAAATATTATTCTTATTATTATTATTATATGAAATAAAAATTATGACTCTATTCAGTATATATCTGAATCCAAGACCAGTGGTTTGCTACAACGTGGTTGTTATTTAATAAATAAATAGGTAAATGATCTAAAGTTATTTAGTTTAAAGCGTTCAGAAGCGATTTGGTTGGTTTGGACTATAATTTCTGCGGGAAATAGTTATTTGGTCGGTTTTGATAACGACAAAGTGAATATTTTTGGTACATATTTAGATGATTTTACATATTTTGTTTAACTAAGAATTAATTCTTTATTTGTGTTTTATACTAGCAAAACGTCTTAAACTAAGAATATTGTTGAAATCGTAATAACCCAATGGATTTTTTTCGGGAAAATGTTCTGGAAACACTGTGTTCTATTTTGTATGAATTTTTAAATGTTTTTAGTGACAATTTTTGTGGTTGTTTTCGATATACTGTATGATATTAACAGTGAGAAAAAAATGAAAAATTAAAATAATCGAAAATTCGAAAAATCGAGAAATCTAATAATCGAAATATCGAAGAACTGAAAATCGAAAAATGAAACATCAGAAAATCGAAAAAATGTAAAATTTAAAAACCGAATAACGAAAAATCGAGAAATCAAAACTCCCAAATTTAAAAAATCGGATAACTGAAAAATCGAAACATCGAAAAACTGGAAAATCGAAAAACCGAGAAATCGAAAAATCAAAAGATCAAGAAATCGTGTAGTCGAAAAGTCGAACAATTGAGAAACCGAAATAGGCCAAAATCGAAAAGTTAAAAATTGAATAATTTATAAATTGAGAAATTGACAATCAAAATATCGAAAAATCCAAATCTCGATAAATCGATAAATCAAAAAATTGAAAAATTCGAAAAATTGAAAAATTGAGAAATCGACAAACAAAAAGTTAAAAGTTGAAAAATTGGAAAAGCGGAAAAATCAAAAAACGAAAAAATGGAAAACTGGAAAAACTGAAAAGCCGAAATAGGCCAAAATAAAAAATTGAAAAACTGATAAATCGAAAACCTGATAAATCGAAAACCTGAACAATCAAATCTCGATAAATCGGGAATGAAAAATTAACAAATCGAAAAATTGAAAAATAGAACATCTAAAACCAGGAAGTCGAAAAATAGGAAGATTAAGAAATATTGAAAAATTAAAATATCAAAAAATTGAAAAATCTAAAATTTAAAAATCCAAAAATTGTAAAATCGAAAAAGTAAAAAGGTAGACACATCGAAAAATCCAGAAATCAAAAACAGAAGAGCCAAAGAATTGAAAAATCAAAAACTTGAAAAATCAAAAAATTAAAGAATTGAAGAACAGGAAAATCGAAACACTCGAAGGTCAAGAAATGGGAAAATCAAAACATCGATTAATTGAAAAATCGAAAATTTGGCAAAATGACAATTGAAAAACCGAAAATCTAAAACCGGGAAGTCGAAAAATCAAAAGATTAAGAAATCGAAACATTTGAAAAATTCGAAAACTTGAAAAATTCAAATATCGAAAACCTGAACTGAAAAATCGAGAAATCGAAAAATCTAAAATTTTAAAAATTAAAAAATCTAAAATTTAAAATCGAAAAAGTAAAATAATCAACACATCGAAAAATCCAGGAGTCAAAAATCGAAGAGTCGAAGAATCGAAATATTGAAAAATCCCAAAACTGAGATATCGAAAAACTGAAAAATGAAAGACGAACTGAGAATCTAATAACCTGAAAAATCCGAAAACTGAGAACCTAAAAAGTCGAAAAATTGAACAATCGAAAACTCCAAAAAGTGAAGTCGAAAAGTCGAAACTTTAAAAAACTAAAAAATGAAAAATCGAAAAATTAAATAATTGAAGAACAGGACAACAGGAATATCGAAACCCTCGAAAGTCAAGAAATGGGAAAATCAAAACATTGATTAATTGAAAAATCGAAAAATTCACAGTTTATAAATGCCAAATTTGAAAAATTGAAAAATCGAAAATTTGAAAAAACGACAATTGAAAAACAGAAAATCTAAAACCGGGAAGTCGAAAAATCGATAGATTAAGAAATCAAAACATTTGAAAAATTCGAAAACATGAAAAACGGAAATATGAAAAATGAAAAATCGAGAAATCGAAAAATCTAAAATTTTAAATATTGAAAAATTAAAATATCAAAAAACTGAAAAATCTAAATTTAAAAATCGAAAAATTGAGAAAACGACAATTGAAAGACAGAAAATCTAAAACCGGGAAATCGAAAAATCGAAAGATTAAGAAATCGAAACATTTGAAAAATTGAAATATGGAAGAGCTGAAATGAAAAATCGAAAAATCTTACATTTTAAATATTGAAAAATTGAAATACAAAAAATTGAGAAATCTAAAATTTAAAAATCGAAAAAGTAAAAAGTCGACACATCGAAAAATCCAGAAATCAAAACTGAAATATCGAAAAACTGAAAAATGAAAGAAAAACTGAAAAATTCCAAAACTGAAATATCCAAAAACTGAGAACCTAAAGAATCGAAAAATTGAGAAACCGAAAAATCCAAAAAGTGAAGTCGAAATATCGAAACCTAAAAAAAAATCGAAAAATTGAAAAATCAAAAACCTGCAGAATCGTAAGATAAAATTGAATAATAAGTAAACTGAAAAATCCCAAAACTGAAATGTCCAAAAACAGAAATTAAAAAATTGAGAAATCGAAAAATCAAAAAACTGAAGTTGAAAAATCGAAACCTGAAAAAATAGAAAAATCGAAAAACCAAAAAACCTGAAAAATCAACCAATCGACAAATAAAGAGTTTATAAAAGTCAAAAATTGACAAATCGAAATATTAAAATTGAAGAGAAAAACTGAAAACCGAGAAATTGAAAAATTGAGAAATTGTAAAATCCAAAAATCCAATAATAAATAGGAGTAAACTGAAAAGTCCCCAAACTAAAATCTCGAAACACTGAGAATTCGAAAGTTGAAACAGCAGAAATTATGGTCGAAACCGATTGGGATGTGTATCAGATCACAGATCATAGCTTATAAATCAAATCGTTTCCGAACCCTTAGAGTCGACATTGGCCTGAGTGCGCTATGGTCTGTAGATAAAACAAGTTCTCAGACGACGAACTGTAATTCGTGTGACCTGAATTAAAGTGAAGGAAACAGTAAGCAGCTTGTATGTTTCAGGTAAATAAATGATCTTCTAACAAACTGTAAAATGTACCTACAGTATTATTATGTTTTTTAAAATTTAGATTACCAATGTAAAAAAACGGTGGTCAAGAAATTATAAGTAGAGAACTTAGAAATATAAAAAAAGTTTAACTTACCACTTCGCAGTTCACCTTAGTAAGTGTCCACAAGGTAACTATGGCTTTTGTAAACGTGAATTTTACTAATTAAGGAGAGATCTGCTTTTCCGTACTCTAGCTACGTTGAAAAAACCTGTAATTAACCATGCGCCTCTTGGATTCTATTAAATACTTACCTAGTTTACACTCAGAACTTAAAATATTGAGATGATTGATCTCAAATCACTAAATTGATCATTTTCCACGCCACTATCTGTAGAAAAATTGCGGACGAAGGAGTGAAGGATTTTTATGATGTGTAATGAAAAGACAAAGTTAATATCTACGTATATCTATTTTGATAAAAAATCTAAACTTCATTATATACAAATATAACTAATTCAAAATGTTTGGGGCTCAAAAACTGTCATATGTACATAATTATCTTATCTACTTGACTGAAGAGTGCATAACATCAATGGCACCATCTTTAAGTTTTTCATATTAGAGTTACATAATGAACGTATTAAATAGAGCCATTTGTTTAATAAATAGAATGACAATAAGATTTTCTACATCAATCACATAATAACACAACTTAGATTCATGCAAGGCTATAGACACATTTACAACTAGAAATTACCAACATAAAACATAAATTATGCATTTGTATAGAACTTGAGGGCTAACATTAGCGTCATAAGAAAAAAAGCAGGCACCATGAGTTATTTTAAAAAGTTGTCGGTATTTACCTAATTTAAATTATTCCTTACTTAGTATATGGTATCAAAATATGTCAAAATTATTTCATGTTATCAATTCTATTCTTTGGTATTTACAAAAATAATCAGTTGTAAATTCATACCTAAGAAAGATATTGAAAAAAATAATTTTGGCGTATTTTTTGGCAGATCTATTGTACTGTAGCTAGATTAGAATAAAATCACCTCACTAATTAAAATAAAATCATAAATTTTACGTAAAACGCTTGAGCTAAAATATACACATCATGCTATAAATATAAAGAATTAATTGTGTACATGTAAGTACATACCCTTTATATCACTAATAAATATCATTGTTTTTAGAAATTCTTCAATTAAAATTACCAAGGGCTTTTTCAATCACCTAGCGGAAGTATTTATGAACGTCAATTACAACGTCATAAATAACGGAACACCAATAAGGGTGTTGTATATAAAATTCTAAAATGACTAAAGTTACGTGATCATATCGTAGTTTCATATTTGTAAAACTAAATCTAATTATAATCATTCTCGAACCTATCATCATGTTCCCAACCTTTATTACTCTTCACACTTGGAGGATGTTTTTTACTATGTGTTCGTCCTGCTGAACTGTTCTGTTTGCTATTCCATGAACCATTATCTTCGTTTGCTTTACTTTTTACAAATCTAGCACCGACTCCAAGTATTGGCCGTCCAGTTTTTTCTTTATTCTTCTGTGATGTATCCTTCACAAAACTTTTCTGTTGCACACCATTGTATTCAGCAGGGTTGGAGTAATGAGTGGCCTGAATATCATTTTGAGGGGGCTCAGTTGGAGAGGTTGAAATCTGGAGCACATTTACATTGCTCTGGTAACTGTCCAAAATTTTACTAGTATGTATCGTTTGTATACTTAAGGCGTCATGTGGCCTCTGTAAAAGAAAAACAATTCTATGTTATTCTACTCTAAACTACATTGAATTAATCAACATTATTAGTAATAAGCACTACACACACTTACTTGAAAATTAATCATGGCAACACTGCCGAGCTGACTTTCGTAGTACTTGTAGATTTCTGCTGGAAGGACTCCAAACCTTGCACTAAACAGATCAAGTGCCAACAACAACCATAGTTTTACGTCTTTACTAAGTTGGGTTTCAACCACCAAAGCAGTCCTAATTGTTATTCCTAACTTTGCCATTTCTTCTGGTAAGAGGGTTTTCAAGGTTGATCCATTCAAAAATAACTAAAAATGGTATAATGATGCTAATTATGTTTCAATGAAATAAGGCGTTTACATACCTGACTAGTCAATAACATGAGATCTGGTAGAGTCTTACTATTGAGTAATAACTCTAAACAAGCCACAAAAGGAACTGCAAGAAACACATAGGGCTCTCCATTGGACAACCTAGCTTTGTAGTAAAAGTCTCCAATCATCTGAACACAATTACGAAAGAATACAGGATTGGTTGTTTGAAGCTGATTACTATCTAAAATAACATAACCAATAAATTACATTAAATTTACAATAACAACAAACTTACTATCAAAATCCCGTTGCAGGTGCTGTAGAAACTGTTGGCGTAAATCACACTCATGAATTTTCTGCGATATAAAACTGCGTGCCGACATAAGACGCACAAGTTTCACCGCCAGTTCGTTGTCATGTAAACATGCCTTATACAGATTTTCAAAGCTGTCTCTGCAAAAAATTCACTTATCATAACCCCGACTTTACTTTAAATAAACAACTTACTCAACTTCTTTCTGTCTTGTACAGTCCTGTGTCCAGTATGATTGTATGTACTTCATCTTCTTATTAAACATGATTCCATCGTCATTTGTGCTCAGTTCTTTAATTCGATCGACTAATTCGTCGTATTCGCTACTCAATTGTGGTGCTGGTGATGGAGTATTCATTGGTGGTTTTGATAACCCCATGGGTTTAGGAGGCTCCGCACTTTTTGACAAATTTAACCATCCCCTACCTCGGCCTACTCCACAAGATGACATTTTGGCTAAAAACAAATATTAATTAATTAACAATATTACAAATAAGATAAAAATACCCGTACCTTCTTGTTTATAACCTCTCAAGTGTTTATTTGAAAATGAGTCAAAAACGCTTTTGGTCTTGTTATGATGCTGCAACCCGCACTTCAACCACTCGAGGTTTAATGTTACACTGTTGACCACAGAACAACAACTGACTTGCTGGAGCAGTGGCGCCTGCATAAATAGTTTCAGGAGGGGGCAGGTACTTAAAGTTAATCCGAGAAACCACCCTTTATTGGTAAACTCAGCTTCCCCCAGACAATGTTCTATAGTTATTTATTAGTAAATATGATTTATATTTGACTTATTTAATTACACTAACCGGCAAAAAAAACGGCGACCTTGAAAAATTTGCAAAACCAAACTTTAAACATTATTAATTTAACTAGTGATCGTTATTTTATTAAAGAATAGGAATAGAGGATAAATTAGCAAAAAAAAAGAAGCCAATTAAACACAGAATTTAATTTAATTTAACAAAATAACAGAAACAGAGCGACACTTTGAGAGACGTCTGCAAGAGTTAACGGAATTATTTTCGCGTGAAAACGTTTATTAATGGCCAAACTTATAATTAAATGATGAAAAACACTGTTTACAACAACAGCCTCCGTTACTGTTTTTTTTTTTTAAGAAAATATCGTACTTGGTCTGTTTCTGTTATTTTGTTAAATTAAATTTAATTCTGCGTTTAATTGTCTTCTTTTTTTGCTAATTTGTACATCATGTGTCAATAGTAAATTAATAATTTTTAAAGTGGTTTTGCGAAAATTTTCAGGATGGCCGGTTTTTTTGCCGGTTAGTGTAGTTATTTGTACCTACTATTTTTTATATTATACATGTAATATAGGTGTTTCTATAGTATTTAGTTTTGATACACACCTATGTATACAAACGACACATTTTTTAGAGAGGTATGAGAAAAACAGATAATATAATGACAGACTTGAAATAATAATTTTAGTTGTCACTCATTTCGTGCCCATTTAAGGAGATTTATTAGTATTTAGTTATTTTAAGAAAATGTAATTAAAATACTGAAACATCATTTTCTTACCTGTCTGCCTACAGATAAGCAACCCTCTTATCAGCGGTTTTGATTCAATGCATTGAGTGTCTTTCCTTGTAATTTTTTAAAAGACACAATGGCATTCATAATTTTATTCTCGTCCATTTTTACTTTATACTGTTTTTTATATTTCGGAACTCGTGGATATAAAAAATAAGAAGAAGAGATGTCTTCTACGTCGGTAGTTTCGCAGTTTATTTTACCGCTTTTTCAAGACGTTCAATTATACCATTTGCGTCTTAACTTAAAAACGATGACATGTGAGAAAAAGACGCAAATTGAACGTCTTGAAAAAGCGATAAAATAAACTGCGAAACTGTCGACGTAGAAGACATCTCTTCTTAGTTTTTATGTCCACGAGTCCAGAAATACAAAAAACAGTACACAATGGCATGTTAGCGATCTATTGAATTTAATTTACCTGAATCTACAAGAAATCAATTCTTCACACTAGTTCTTCAAATGTGTATAATAGTGATCAGTTCTGATTCGGATGCAGAAAATGAAATACCGCTACGAACACGGAAAGTAGATAAAAAAATCTGACATTGTTAGCTTTCTTAGATCTAAAAATGTAGATATTCCAGAATCAGCTAAAACGAAAAAAGACCTTTTGGAGATCGTATCTAAAGCGTCTACGGTAATTTTTGCAAAATAAATGTCATTGACGAATTAGCCAGAAGTAATGGGTTCCACATTTTAAAACTGCGTCCTTAGTTTTGTATTTTCAACCCAATCGAGTAATTTAGAATCAATTAAAACGATAAATCAGAAAATACAATGATCACCCAAAAAGTTGTCCAAAAGTTGAAAAACTAATAAGATCCAAAGTTAAAAGGTGCAAAGAAATATGGCGAAATTATGCTAAGCACGTCAAAAATGTTTGTTGCGTTCAGCTGGGTTTTTGTAATTTCAAGGGATTATACTAATGACACTAACCAACTTATCTGGATTTCTGTGAAGGTATAAATACGGTTCTGAGTTTTGAGAATAAATAACACTTAACAAATCCTTCCAAATTACTCTGTTAGTTTTACCTGGTTGTTTGTTTGTTTGTTTCTGTCACTGCCGTCACCAGATCATTTGCTCTCAAATTAAATAGGTTGAGAAACAATTTGCTCAAATAAATGTAGTTATTAATTTGTAATTTGTTGTAAATCCTTCACAGATGATGTGCCGGCCACCCTGAAAAATTTCGCAAAACCACTTTAAAAATTATTCATTTAACTAGTGATCGTTATTTTATTAAAGAACCATTCACTATTGACACAAATCAGCAAAAAAAAAAAAAAATAAACGCAGAATTAAATTTAATTTAACAAAATAACAGAAACAGAAAAAAAAACAATAAAGGAGGCTGTTGTTGTAAATAGTGTTTTTCATCATTTAATTATAAGTTTGGCAATTAATAAACGTTTTCAGGCGAAAACAATTCCGTTAACTCTTACAGACGTCTCTCAAATTGTCGCTCTGTTTCTGTTATTTTGTTAAATTAAATTTAATTCTGCGTTTATTTGTCTTCTTTTTTTTTGCTAATTTATACCTCATGTGTCAATAGTGAATGGTTCTTTAATAAAATAACGATCACTAGTTAAATTAATAATTTTTAAAGCTTAGTTTTGCGAAGTTTTTCAGGGTGGCCGGTTTTTTTGCCGGTCAGTGTATTATACATATAATATAGGTATTTCTATAGTATTTAGGTTTGATACACACCTATGTTTCCAAACGATAGATTTTTAGTTAGGTATGAGAAAAATAGATAATATAATGACAGACTTGAAATAATAATTTTAGTTTTCACTTATTTCGTGCCCATTTAAGGAGATTAAGTATACTTGCTTCCAAAATAAGAGAGTAAAACTACCTGGAAAACTGACTGGACTTTTAGGGTTTTCCAACTCTAAGCGGTAGGTGGGCCAATAGGAATGATTGACAGCTTGTACAGGTACAATGGACTAAGCTTATGGCCCTATTACGATATCCTAAAAGTTAAGTCAGTTTTGCAGGTAGTTTTACTCTCTTATTTTGGAAGCAAGTATACCTATTTAGTTATTCTAACAAAATGTAATTAAATACTGAAACATCATTTTCTTACGTGCCTGCCTGTCTACAGATAAACAACCCTCTTATCAGAGGTTTTCAATCAATGCATTTCTCGTTTTTACCGAAACGCTAATGCCATGAGTGTCTCTCCTTGTAATTTTTTAAAAGACACAATGGCATGTTAGCAATCTGTTGAATTTAATTTACCTGAATCTACAAGAAATCAATCCTTCACACTAGTTCTTCAAATGTGTATTTAGTGATCAGTTCTGATTCGGACGCAGAAAATGAAATACCGTCACGAACACGGAAAGTAGATAAAGAAATCTGACATTGTTAGCTTTCTTAGATCTGAAAATGTAGATATTCCAGAATCAGCTAAAACGAAAAATGACGTTTTGGAGATCGTATCTAAGGGCCTCTAGGGTCATTTTTGCAAAATAAATGTCTTTGACGAATTAGCCAGAAGTAAGGGGTTCCACATTTGAAAACTGCGTCCTTAGTTTTGTATTTTCAACCCAATCGAGTAATTTAGAATCAATTAAAACGAGAAGTCAGAAAATACAATGATCACCCAAAAAGTTCTCCAAAAGTTGTAAAACTAATAAGATCCAAAGTTAAAAGGTGTAAAGAAATATGGCGAAATTGTGTTAAGCACGTCAAAAATGTGGAAGCAACACTTCGGAAAACTTCTCCTAATGATCTTATTATAAATTTAAATGTTTGTTGCGTTCAGCTGGGTTTTTGTAATTTCAAGGAATTACACTAATGACAATAACCAGCTTATCTGGATTTCTGTGAAGGTATAAATACGGTTCTGAGTTCTGAGAATAAATAACATTTAACAAATCCTTCCAAATTACTCTTAGTTTTATAGTGAACCAAGAGTTATAAGGTTATATGGCCATCATAAAATCATCCCATTGTGTCGAAGTTAAGTTGTTTACAATAGAAAAGGTTTTAGGGTCGTAAATAACGTGTCCACTGCAGTTCGACCGGCTCTTGTGGTTTCGTTCAGGGGCGGCTTTCACTAAATATGAAAATCCACCACTCCACTATTTCTTTACTACCTGCAGCCGCTGAGGGTTCCGAAATAACCACTCGCTTTGAAAGCCGGCCCTGTTAAATATGAGCAAGAAATGTTTAGAAGATGATTTATTGCCAACCGGTAAGCTTAATGCGAACCACACAAAGGGGGTATTTATTTGCGGTCAACTACTTTTATGATGGCCATATAACCTTATAGGTCTTGGTTCACTATACCTGGTTGTTTGTTTGTTTGTTTGGTCCCGTCACCTGATCATTTGCTGTCAAATTAAATCAGTTAAGAAATAATTTGCTCAAATAAATGTAGTTATTAATTTGTAATTCGTAGTAGATCCTTCATAGATGATGTGTGTTAAATTGAATCAATGTATATTCTGGGAAATTTAAAGTAATATCCAACTTTTATAAAGCTATCATAAACTTACTATAATACACCGACCGGCAAAAAAAACCGGCCACTCTGAAAAATTTCGCAAAACCACTTTAAAAATTATTCATTTAACTAGTGATCGTTACTTATTTTATTAAAGAACCATTCACTATTGACACAAATCAGCAAAAAAAAAAAGAAGACAAATAAACGCAGAATTAAATTTAATTTAACAAAATAACAGAAACAGAAAAAATACAACAAAGGAAGGTGTTGTTGTAAACAGTGTTTTTCATCATTTATTTTTAAGTTTGGCAATTAATAAACGTTTTCAGGCGAAAACAATTCCGTTAGCTCTTACAGACGTCTCTCAAATTGTCGCTCCGTTTCTGTTATTTTGTTAAATTAAATTTAATTCTGCGTTTATTTGTCTTCTTTTTTTCGCTAATTTATACCTCATGTGTCAATAGTGAATGGTTCTTTAATAAAATAACGATCACTAGTTAAATTAATAGTTTTTAAAGTTTGGTTTTGCGAAATTTTTCAGGGTGGTCTGTTTTTTTTCCGGTCAGTGTAGTATTTTATTTTACAAGACTGAGAATTTAGAATCACGAAAGTATTAGCACGTGTGATACTGATCTCACGAGCTTATACCGGCGTTTCGCTCACGTATGCTATACGACGCTTTATCTTGCAGTATCAGCCTTTACCCAAAGGTAAAAAAAAAGATGAATTCAAATTGAATGCGCGTTGAATCTAAAAGATCATATTGTCATTAAATATGTAAGTACAGTCAAAATTATTGTCGGTATCCCGCTCTGACAGGTATTATGTACCTTTAAGTT